TTCAATCTTCTTGGCGCAACCAGTGAGGCTGTAGGTTCCAAGATTGTTTGTGCATTCTGTGACCTTTGCTGTACCAGTGTGAGTATCAGCGCATGCCACCTGCACTTTGAATGAGCTCCTGTCCAAAGAAGTCTCTGTGACAGAATAGCCTGTCAAGTCCTTTGGAGAAACACACACTGGAGCGGGAGTGCACCCACTCAAAGTGTAAGCTTCACGGTCCAAGTTGCACTTGGTTGCTTTGGCAACTCCCTGATATCCAGGGGCACACTGAGCAGTCACCTCGAACAGGATCTTGCGGAGCTGTGCTTCGGTCACAAGGTAGCCCGTTGTAACCTGAGGTGCCACACAAGTTGTGGTGCTGTACTTGCAGCCACTCAGTTGATACTGCTGGCCGGTTTTCGAGCAAGGGGTAACAAGCGCGGTTCCTTCATAGCCACGTGCACATGTTGCAGCGACGTCAAACGACTGTGCCACTGTGTTCTTCTCTGTGACAACATAGTGGCTGTTCTCAGGAGAGGCGCAATGGATCTTGGGAACGCAACCAGTGATGCTGTAGGTTCCCAGGTTGCTTGTACATTCTGTGACCTTTGGCTCGCCAATGTGCGTGGCTGAGCATTTGGCCTCAACTTTGAATGAGCCCTTGTTCAAAGACGTCTCTGTCACGGAATAGCCTGTCAAGTCCTTGGGAGAAACACAGACTGGAGCCGCAGAACATCCACTCAAGGTGTATTCCCCACCTTGACTGGTGCAAGGGGCGACTTTGGCAGCTCCCTGATATCCAGGGGCACACTGAACACTCACATCAAAGACAATCCTTCGAAGTTGAGCTTCGCTCACAAGGTAGCCATCTGTTGCCTTGGGTGCAACACAAGTTGTGGTGCTGTACTTGCAGCCACTCAGAGTGTACTTCTCGCCTGTTTTCGAGCAAGCAGTTGCTACTGGGTTCCCCTCATAGCCACGTGCACATGTGGCAGCAACATCAAAGGTTTGTGCGACAGTGTTCTGCTCGGTCACGGCATAGCCGTCGAAGCTGGGCGAAGCACATTCAATCTTCTTGGAGCAACCAGTGAGGCTGTAGGTTCCAAGATTCTTTGTGCATTCTGTGACCTTTGCTGTACCAGTGTGAGTATCAGCGCATGCCACCTGCACTTTGAATGAGCTCCTGTCCAAAGAAGTCTCTGTGACAGAATAGCCTGTCAAGTCCTTTGGAGAAACACACACTGGGGCAGGAGTGCACCCACTCAAAGTGTAAGGACCATTGTGACCGCTGCACTTTGTTGTTGTAGCAGCTCCTTGATATCCCGGGGCACACTGCGCGTTGACCTCAAAGATGATTTTGCGAAGTTCCACCTCGGTGACAAGGTAGCCCAATTGAGATTTCGGTGCCACACATGTTGTGGTGCTGTACTTGCAGCCACTCAGCTGGTACTGCTGCCCTGTTTTGGAGCAAGCAGTTGCTACTGCTTTGCCCTCGTAGCCACGTGCACATGCGACAGCAACATCGAAAGTTTGTGCAACCGTGTTCTGCTCTGTCACAAGGTAGTGGTCAGATTCGGGCGAAGCACATTGAATCTTTTTGGCACAACCACTGACACTATAGGTTCCCAAATTCTTGGTACACTCAGAGGCCTTTGCCTTCCCCGTGTGCGTGTCTGCACACTGGACCTCCACTTTGAACGTGTCCCTGTCGAGTGACTTCTCCTCCACAATATAGCCTGTCAAGTCCTTTGGAGAAGCACACACTGGGGCAGGAGTGCACCCACTCAAAGTGTAAGGACCATTGTGACCGCTGCACTTTGTTGTTGTGGCAGCTCCTTGATATCCCGGGGCACACTGCGCGTTGACCTCAAAGATGATTTTGCGAAGTTCCACCTCAGTGACAAGGTAGCCCAAATGAGATTTCGGTGCCACACATGTTGTAGTGCTGTACTTGCAGCCACTCCTTCGATTTGCTTAAGTTGACCTCAAAAAAAGTGGATTGACATGGATTAACCAATGGGTAAATCGAAAAAATCTGCAGCAAATCATGAAAAATGGATTGGTTTCAGGGACAATATACAGGAAACCCCCATATTTCATCATATTTCATGGGAAAACCATGGAAAACCCATGGTTCCTGATGTTTCCTGTAGATTTTCCCTTAAACTAACCCATTGAATCCAAGACTCAGTTGGTACGACTGCCCCGTCTTGGTGCACTTGCTTACAACAGCTTTGCCCTCGAAGCCGCGCGCGCAGCTGGCGTCGACGTCCAAGAGCTGTGCCACCGTGTTTTTCTCCGTGACCACGTAGCCTTCCGTGGAGCCCGGCGAGTCGCACTGGATCTTCTTTTCACAGCCACCTGGATCTTGCTGGATGATGATGGTGAAATTTTGTCAAAGTTAGGAACCCACAAGATGCATCAGTTCGTTGTACAGTCAAGGAGCGACAAAAGCATTTGGTCGATTTCTGAGTTGTTCAAGATCCACTCAGAACCCCCTGAAATCACCAGTTTGGTTTGATCAAAAGCAACCGAAACCTCGTAAACCTCCACCAAAGCCCCAGCCGAGCCACTCAGAATGTAGGGCGTCATCTTCCCCTGGCATTCTCTCACTGAGGCCTTGCCCGTGTGCGTCGGAGAACACTCCGCTGAGACCTCAAAGTTGGCCTTGTCCAAAGAAACTTCCTGACGAGTCAGCACGGTACGTTTTATCACCGGAGGCTTAGGATTTTGAGCAGCGATTCCCATTTATGATGTTTATGATGTTTATTTTTGTTTTATGATGTTTAATGATGTCTCTATGATGTTTGAATCATGTTTGAATCATGTTGAATCATGTTTGAATCATGTTTGAATCATGTTTCAGTCCCAATAAACAAAGCAACTGATTTTCTGATGCTTAAATCCAAAAAAAACTGTAAATCCCCTATCAATCCCCCAGAAGTCCCCATATGTCTGAGCTAATCGAGATGATCCCCACATTTCTACGTGGCCCTGCTCCAAGGATCCGTGATGCTGTAGCCGTTCAGATCGTTGGGTGAGGTACAGACCGGTGCTTTGCTGCAGCCACTGAGAACGTATTCACCTGGACCAAATCCCCGGGGCGGCCATGATACCTATGGCATCCTATGGCCATCTTGAAGCTCCGCGGTTCGTAACTGAGTATCATCATGTATATATCATGTATATAACGGTAGAATCCCAACGTTCAATGATCATGGCTTCAAATCCAGATATTTTATGGTGACTCAGTGACTCTGCCAAGTTTGGTTGAATCAGCGGTGTCCATCATTCTTCATCATGCTTCATGTTTCATAGCATTTCATAGCGTTTTTCAGCTTCTACCCTCTAGTAATCATACATGGTTTGCTGGAAAATCCACCATTAACTTCCCTTTCTTCGTTTAAAAACTTTGAAAACTTATCTTCCAACCCCCAGAGACTCGACAGGGTCTCAGCTCAAGGGATGGTATCCCTATATCGCCACAGGAAAAAAACCCAGCGATGCACCGAGAGACCTAGGTCCTTCTCACAGGTCTGCACCTTGGCAACGCCCACATAGCCCGGAGCACATGTCCTGGGCGTAGCGGCGTAGCAACTCTGAGGGTCCAAAGATGATCGGAGAATGTGTTTCAGAACTTGTTTTTCTCTATTTGCCGGGAGATAGCTTTGTCAAAAAATATGGAAAACACGAGTTGTTTACCTCAAATTGTCAATTCTGAGGGGGAACATCAAGAAAAAACATCCGGAGAATGCATGATAGAACCTGGCTTTGACTGTTTGATCACCATTTTGGATGTTTAAATGGCCAAGAATGAAGGTTATACTGCACATGCGGGGTACAAACAATTTTCAGATATCTCACAATTGTCAATGAATATTATCCTGAAAAACCCCTAATGTTTACTGCTTACAACCCCGGATCTTTGCCGGTAGTGGAACTCATCACATCCCAGTGGCACAGCCACATCAAAGGAGATCTTTCGCAACTCGGCTTCGGTGACCAGGTAGCCTTCCGTGGACCTGGGGTTGAAAGGAAGTGGTCAGTGAATCATCATCATCATCAACAACAACAACCACAACCACAACCAACAACCGACAACCAGCAACCAGCAACCAACAACCAACAACCAACAACCAACAACCAGCAACCAGCAACCAGCAACCAACAACCAACAACCAACAACCAACAACCAGCAACCAACAACCAACAACCAACAACCAGCAACCAGCAACCAACAACCAACAACCAACAACCAACAACCAACAACCAACAACCAGCAACCAACAACCAACAACCAACAACTGGCAACCAGCAACCAACAAGCAACAACCAACAACCAGCAACCAGCAACCAACAACCAACAACCATCAACCAACAACCAACAACCAACAACCAAAAACCAACAACCAACAACCAAACAACCAGCAACCAGCAACCAGCAACCAACAACAACCAACAACCAGCAACCAACAACCCACAACCAACAACCAACAACCAACAACCAACAACCAACAACCAACAACCAACAACCAACAACCAACAACAACAACAACAACAACAGCAACAGCAACAGCAACCACAACCACAACCACAACCACAACCACAACCAACAACAACAACAACAACAACCACAACAACCACAACAACCACAACAACCACAACAACGACAACGACAACGACAACGACAACGACGACAAAAACAAAAACAAAAACAACTACAACTACAACTACAACTACAACAACTACACCTACAACAACTACAACAACAACTACTACTACTACTACTCCTACTCCTACTCCTTCTCCTACTCCTACTCCTACTCCTACTCCTACTCCTACTCCTACTACTACTACTGCTACTGCTACTGCTACTACTACTACTACTACGACTACTACTACTACTACTACGACTACTACTACTACAACTACTACAACTACTACAACTACTACAACTACTACAACTACTACAACTACTACAACTACTACAACTACTACAACTACTACAACTACTACAACTACTACAACTACTACTACAACTACTACAACTACAACTACAACAACAACAACTACAACAAGTACAACAACTACAACAACTACAACAATTACAACAGCTACAACAACTACAACAACTACAACAACTACAACAACTACAAGTACAACAACTACAACTCACTCAACATCCAAGCCAAAACTCCAATCATTAAAACTCACCCAGTCACTTCGGTGCGGCGCAGGTCAAAGTGCTGTAGCCTTGGGTGCGTGGCGCTTGATGCGGTTGTGTTGTGGCTGTTGCTATGGCGGACTCAGGCGACCAAAAAGCACCACTAGGCACCTATCAAAAAGCCATCATTCTTGGTTCAAGTCCACATGTTCTTCTGCTGATTGAATCGCCGGTTTCCATCATCTTTTTATTGCGTTTACGGCGCATGCTTTGGCTTCTACCCAGTAATGAAACATGTCTGAAAAAAAAAAAACACCATTGACCCTCCGGTAAATTAACATAGCTATGGAAATTGACCATGAATTTCATGGCTGAATCCACTATTTCTATGGCCATTTTCAATCAATAGATGCGTGAAAAATTAAATGACCAGAGGCTAGTTCGATGACGAGATTCAGCCATTTTGCTTCCCACTATCCCATGGCCATCACAATCCATCCCCATCAATTCAGCATGATTTCCATCATGATTTCCATCAGCATCAACCATATCAACCAGGGGGATCCAGCATGCGTGCGTTTTCAATGGGTAAATCCGCGAACTAAATCACCCTTTTCAAGTGCAAACTGTTGACATCACCAGGTTGGGTAATCCCAAGAAACAATAAAATTCCTCATCTGGTTGGTGCTATACCTACCCCTCTGAAATATATTAGTCAGTTGGGATGATTATTCCCAATATATGGGAAAAAAAATGTTCCAAACCACCAACCAGTCATTATATTGTTGATTCGAAATTTCCCACAAGGACATGTCAACATCTCGCTATCATACCGCTAGTAGATCGCCTCTATATCCCAACGACATTTACCAGTGAAGTTCATGGGGTGTTCATGCTTAACATCCGCAAAAAAAATACCAATCTGCATGGCCTTGATCCGGTTTTTTTGCTATCCCACGACAATGTCATCTTAATTCCCCATGACAATCTACTTAACTTACCCTCTGGTAATTTAACATAGCTATTGAAAATGGCCATTAATAGTGGATTTACCCATTAAAAATTGTGATTTTCAATAGCTATGTTAAATTACCAGAGGGTAATTCCCAATGACAATCTACTTAACTTAATTCCCACTGAAAAAATCCCATGACATCCCAAAGCTCTCCATTCCCAGTGAATTCCCATGACATCAATCAATATCCCATGTTTTTTTGAAACATATTCTTGGTTATATCGCTTTATATCTCATTAAAAAAAGAATACTGGCGATATTTCCAGAAACAATTGCTAAGACTGGCTAATCCCCCCAATATCCCACTATATCCTTGGTCCTGTTTGTTTACTTACAGTAGATCACCATGGGATATCCATCCCATCCCCGTGCGATGCTTCTCCCCCAGGATCGCCTAGGATATCTCCGTGCCTCCAGCACCAATCAATTTATTTCTATCAAAAATGCCAGAAATGTGGTATCAAGAGTAAACCATCCTCAAAATCACCATAAACATGCCATAAATGGGTGCGAACTAAACTTTTAAACCATCAAAATATTGCTGGTTTATTATTGCTTTACTAACATTAATTATATATGTATATATACATACACATGTTTTTTATACTTCACTGACCCGAAACTTGCTGCCATTTTGGGATGATGACCCCCAAACCTAAAGCATCATTCTTTAGGGTTCGGTCGCGCCGTGAGATTGCAACATGTAATTTACCCTGATACATCCGATTATATACCTCTTTATATATATAATATGTATATACACACCGTTGTAATCAATTGTATCTCAGTTCTATTTCCATAGTATCTCTTTATCTATACTATACTGGTTGGTGGTATACCTACCCCTCTGAAAAATATGAGTTCGTCAGTTGGGATGATGACATTCCAAATATGTGGAAAAATAAAAAAATGCTCCAAACCACCAACCAGTATATTATATATATATATTATATACACACCATTATAATTCGTTGTATCTCAGTTCTATTTCCAGTGTATCTCCATTGTTTATACATCATCTTGCGGGTTCCTAAAATGGGGGTTAACCTAAATCATCCATTTTAGATAGGATTTTCCATACCCCCATTTATTCAAACCCTTATATGTAAATCACATACTATAATATGTGTATATATATATATATACATGTATATACCATTATAATCCATTGTATCTGCCGTTTATTCCCAGTGTATCTCAATTTATACACCATAATCATCCATTTGTAGATGGATTTTCCATTATAAACCAACCATTTGGGATATTTTGGGCTACCCCCCATGAAAATGGAAACCTCCCAACCAGTGGACCAACATCAACCAGGTGGCTGCATCCCGTCAACGTGTACTTCTCCCCGCTGCTGGCGCAGGGCGTCACAGTGGCCGTGCCCTCCCAGCCGCGCGCGCAGCTGACGCTGACGTCGAAGAGCTGGGCGACGGTGCTGCGCTCGGTGACCAGGTAGCCGTTGGTGGAATCTGGACTTTCGCAGTTGATCTTGGCCTGGTGGATGGGAAAAACCATGGGTTTTTTCCCACAAAAATCAAGAAAAAAGGATCAACAAGGATAAACAAGGGGAGAAAAAACAATAGGAACAAGTCAAGAAAAACATGAGGAAAAACCATGGAATATTTAACTAGGAGTTTTAAGGATGACTTTAGCAGTCATCCAACTGATTTCATGGGCTGATTCATGTTTGCTAAGTTGAACTGGTTCACCAACATAAAGAGGCTTTATGGTAAACATTTCGAACGAGTTTCATGCGAGTGGTAACACTATATTTTTTGTTCACTCGGGATGGTGGATGGAAAACATATGGTTTGGTGGGAAAATCTTCACCTGACACAATTTGGCACTATGGTTCTTATCGGAAATTGTCCCATCATCCAATTCTAGGGTGGGAAAATTTACTGAAAACGACGTGACAATGGGTCTGATTCTGTTTTTGAAGGGGATCCAGTGAAATTGATAATCACATTAATTACTAAGGGGAAATGCTCAAAATATGTTAGGTGGATATTTGTGTTGTTCTTTTGAATGGGGATGGGTGATCACAATAATCAAAACAGTAATTTGTACCGATAAACAACAACACTATTCATGATATAGAAATGGTAATGATACTTCTAATAAATACGAATAACATTTGGAAGGAGATTGAACAAGCAAACAATGTCAAACTGTGTCGTGGTATATTTTCGAGAACAGGAGTTTGTAGTGACCAAATATCATCAAACAATGCTTTGAAATTCTGGGGAAGTGATGGATGTTTCTGTGCTCTGAGGGTTAGCGGCGACCACACCAACACAACTTGGAGGCAATTTGACTTAAAACAACGATTGTTCAACTTGTTTTCATTGGGTTTATACATATTTTATACCCTCTGGTAGTTAGTTAGATAGCTATTGAAAATGGCAATTTACAGTGAGTTTTCCCATTAATAGCATGGTGGATCTTTCCATAGTTTTTTGTTAACGTTTACCAGGCCGGGTACCCTCTGGTAAACGTTTACATAACTATGGAAAATCACCATTTTTAATGGGAAAATCCACTATTTCTATGGCCATGTTCAATAGCTATGTTAGTCATTACCAGGCCGGGTAGATATAATTGGGTCACTCATCATTTCTATCCACGAACAACTTGGTGCCAGGATCGGCTTCAGTCTCGGCTTCACTGATTCGAATCCCATGATTTTCCCCACCTCGCAGCCACTCAACTCGTAGGCTTCCAGGCCCTGTTTGCACTTGGTCACCTGCCAGCGTTTTATGGGGATTCCCCTTGATGGCTACTCTAAATCTCAATGATTTGGATTTTTCTGACCATCCCAAAATATGTTGTATGCATTCCAAGTCTTGACCATGGCACATGCAAAAAGGTGTATCTTCTACATTCAGAATGCCATGATTTGTGAAAAGGAAAACCAGAGGAAACTGGGAAACAATGTAAAAAATAAACGATGGGATTTTTGATCGTTTTTTTCAGGGGGCCAGGATATCTTCCATTTTTGGGTCAGCCATGGGTTAATCATTCATTCACTTCAAACATTCCCATAAACCCATTCTGGGATAATTACATCCCCAAAATCTAAAAAAAACATCCGCGGTGTGGCATCAAATTTACTCCCCCCCTCGACCCCATTACCATCCATGAATGTATGGCATACTTACCTATATATATATATGGTAACAAACTACATTTAAATATACGGACTTTTAAATATACAAACAGGCATTTTAGACTACCTCCGTCAAGGTTTTCCTTGGCCCGCCCAGACATTTAATCATACGGAATCCAATTCATTTAAACGTACGGTATCTACATTTAAATATACGAACTGGTATTTCATACTCCCTCCGAGGCCTCGCGGTCTGGGCCGCCCTCCGATTTAAATGTCGTTACCGTATATATAAGGACTCAATTCAGGAAACATCACATACAGCATTTACGATAGAAACATCACATTCAGCCAGGGTTAAGCTACTTCACCACCATTTAAGATGATGTTCAACCCTCCTGCGCAGCAAAAAGCATCCTTGGGGATTTTCGATCACAAATCATACGGTCAAATTCCGATTAGCAAAATGGCAATTAGCTTATCCCATTAGCAAAAAAATCACGTGTTCCCAGGTCCCATCAAAAAATTAGCCCAGATAGAGAAGGGATACAGCCATCATATTGTGGTAGAATATTTGATATAGATGATATTAGATGTTGTTCCAAATCAATATTCCCCTCATTTTCCCATTGTGCATATCATCCCACTAATATTACCCTCTGGTAAACTGTTACATTACATAACTATAACTATGGAAAATCACAATCTTTTATAGGCAAATCCACAATTTCTATGGGCCATTACCAGAGAGTATGTTAGTATGTCCCATTAATATCCCCCATTTTTCTTGGTTCAATACCCATTAATCACCATAAAATACCATTCAATCACTTTCCAACAGCAAATTGTAACAGATTATCAGAGGGTATACCCTCTGGTAAACATACAAAAAACTATGGAAATACACCATTGTTAATGGGTAAATCAACGATTGCTATGGTTTTTTTTGACGAAGATCCCATGACGAAGATCCCATGGCGCCTTAGGAGCACCAGTGTAGCCATCTGCACATTTCGCCTCGACCTGGGATTTCCATGGCCCATCCCATGTTGGATCGTTGAGGAATGGGAAGATTTTCATGGGATTTCCATGGTTAATAATGGTGAATAATGGTGAATAATGGTTAATGATGGTTAATGATGGTTAGTGATGGTTAATGATGGTGAATAATAATATCTGGTTGGTGGTTGAGCCCTACCCCTCTGAAAAATGTGAGTTCCTCAGTTGGGATTATGACATTCCCTTTTTTTTGGAAAAATGAAATTCATGTTCCAAACCACCAACCAAATGGGAATATCATGGGAATATCTATTTTCCATAAGATGGCTGGTTCAAAATCCCATGTTTCTACTTCCCCAAAGATGGATGAACAGATGGGATTTGTTGAGCCCTAGCGGGCTATAGATGTTATATCTACACACCTAATGTGTCGTCATACTTTGTGGTTTCCCTAATTTGTCTATATGTTAAAACAACCCAAATAAAGCTGGGTCGTTTTATCTACTATATGGGTACAGTATACAACTGTATCGGGAAAAACCATGGTCAAAACATGGTAGCTGGGGTATGGCCATCCTTTCCGCAATAGGAATCCTTCTGATAGGTATATAAATAATTGTTGGCTATTAAAGGATTGATGATGAACACCCCCCAGCATCCCCAATATGGGCATTTTAGACAAGTTGTGACCATGGCACATACATGGCAATCGTTCAAAATCAGGAGTTCATGTGATACAATTTACTCTTTTTAATAGAAACAATGAGAATGAAACCAACCAAAATGGTCCCACTTCCACATATGAGCCATTAAAAATACCCCTATCCCATCCCATGTCACAAAATACTACTTGGTTCAAAGCGTTTTCCCATATGGGTTCTCGTAATCAATCCCAATAACCTTGGTAGTATCCCTATTTCATAACCAATCAACCAAGGTACGAGTATTTGTATTTCCTATAAAATCCCTAAATTGCCATAAAATCCCTATCATTTTCCTATAAAATCCCTATCATGTTCCGTCATTTTCCTATGAAATCCCTATGAAATTGCGAAAAAAAACTCCCACTGTCCACTTCGAGCCACCTTCCAATTCAGGCGCGACAGCGAGGTTTCTGTCACATCATAGCCTACTGAGCTTTTGGGCGAGAAGCACACCTGGCCCGAAGGTCACTGCGAACTTTGTGGGAATCGAAATCACTTCAATGCAGGTTTCCTACAATGGGGGTACCCCCAACAGCCGGATGGTTTATAACGGAAAAACCGAAAATAAAATGGATGATTTGGGGGTATCCCCATTCTAGGAAACCCCAAATGATCTTAAAGGCGATTTGAAACTACAACATGGAACCCTCACGAACCAGCAAACGGGGAACTCAACCAGCAACAATTGGGGCATGAACATGGATGTGCATTGGCTAAGCCGAAAATCTTTGAACCTGCAGATTTTGGATGATTTTCATTATTTTTCTGTGGCGTGGTGCTTAATCTATATATTTCCCCCTGTCTTGTTGGTTCCATTTGCATTTCTCTCCATGAAGCAAGGCTTCGTGACTGGTTGAGTCATGTCTTTCCTTTAGCTCTATATCGCCCCTTTCGGCTAGATAACATACGTACGATATAGTCTATGGTATAGTATACCATCATTGTATACCATATCTTTCTGTATCTACAACATTCTACAACAACCCAAAACAAAAACATGGTTGCTAATAGTATATAGTTATCATCATTAAATACCATCAGTATATACCACTATAATAGTAGTTATCATCATTAAATACCATCAGTATATACCATCTAACATTTGTTTGCCATGTTTTTTCTTGGACTTTCACCATCCCAACGTAGCGCCATAGCCGAACGTAGCGCCAAGCCTCCGCTCGGACACATCCTTCCAAGCGATAGCCATCCTCAGTGCGCGGCCGGAAGGGCTCCGTTCGGAACTGGAACTGGAAATGGTTATTATATGCTATTCATCAGCTAAATCTAACCGCAAAATCGGTGCAACATCGAAATAAAACATATAAAACCATGAAAAATCCGTAAAGGGGTCCTTGAAATGGTTATTATCAGCAAAATCGGAATCGATGTCCAATTAAAAATAGGGATGAAGAGTCGATTTTTATGATGGGTAGGTTGGTTCTTTGACTCTAACTAGGATTTCTGGTCAGTGTAGCAAAAAAAAATTGGAATTCGGTTTCTTCATGGCTAAATCTATCCAGTAACTGGATAGTCGATTCTGATCTCCGCGCCGACCTTTATCATCTGCCGATGGTGTCATCAAGCGTGGGACATCCGAAAGCTGGGCCGAGATGGGGGAGACCATCGGACTTTTTTGGAAGATTTTCCATGGCCATGTTTGATTCCTGGAGGCTATTCATGTGAAAAGGCTGAAAAAAGATTCAACTCTTCCATATGTTCAACCAATTGCTATGAAAACAACACACAAATCCGAAATGTCTGTGTGAAATGACCCCTTATCACCATGAATTCCTCAGACAAAATCACAAGAAATCCCATTGAAATCCCATTGAAATCCCATTAAATCCCATCAAAAATAGTCCATTTAAATTCCACCAAATCACCTTACAAATCAACAACGAAACCCCATGAAAAATCTCATCATATCTCATCAGTTGTCCTCTGGAAAATCACAATCTTTAATAGGTACCCTCTGGTTATTTAACATAGCCATGGAAGCCATGGCCCATAGAAATAGATGATTTTCCCAGCTAGAAACCTCCATTTATTAAAGGATTTTCCATGGCTATGTTAAATAACCAGATGGTAAATCAACTATATCTATATATTTCTATGGGCCATGTTCAATAGCAAACTGTAACAAATTACCAGAGAGTATGTCCCATTAATATCCCCATTTTTCTTGGTTCAGTTCAATACCTATTAATCACCATAAAATACCATTAAACCATTTTCCAATGGCAAACTGTAACAAATTACCAGAGGCTAATCTCATTAAATCGACACCTTCTCCGTTTGTTCCGCACCAAAAATTCCAAGGCACCAAATGCCTCAAGCAGTTCTTGGCCGTCGCCGTGCCGTGAAAGCCCGGAGCGCACTTCGCCTGCCTTGGGTTAACAGTTGGTAATTCATCGTTGGTTAACATAATTGAGTAAATCAACCATACTATACTATGAGTTGATTGATAGTTCGAAAAAATCGTGGCAAGTAATATTTGGTAAATCATAGTTGGTTAATAGTTTGAAAAATACTATTAGTGTAGCCATAGTGCACTTAGTTAACCAACTATAGTATGCTATAGTATAAATAACTTAACTAACTATACTATAGAGTATTCATGAAATAAATCAACCATACGATACTATGAGTTGATTGATAGTTCGAAAAAATCGTGGTAAATAATATTTGGTAAATCATGGTCTCAGTAGTAGAAATCCATGTCTCAAATAACGAGTAAATCACAATTGGATACCATCGGAACGAGAACTTGGTGCCCTCCATCAGTTCGATGTTCATCGAAATCCATGGGGAAAAGCCATAGAAAATGGAAAAGCAGTTGACCTATGGTGGTCTATCTAAAACTGCTTGGTGGTTGACCTAATAATGGTTAATAATGGTTAATAATGGTTAATGACGGTGAATAATAATATCTGCTTGGTGGTTGACCTACCCCTCTGAAAAATGATGGAGTGAAAGTCAGTTGGGATGATGACAATCTCCCAACGGAATGGAAGAATAAAAAAAAATGTGTCAAACCAGAAAATCATCAATAAGGTCAATGTGAATACGGATTAAAATCCCAACTGACACCCGTGTCCGTTCTTCCCAACCTGATACTCATTCCCCCTCCTGGCGATAGAAAAACATCGAAAAACGGGATTTTCCAGAAATGTTGCTACTCCCAATAGCTGGTTGGTTTATTTCACCGAAAATCCCAAAACCTAAAATAGATGACTTGTCGTCCGGGTACCCCCGGCTGGAAACCTTCATTCATCTCGGATTCGAGTTGTTTTTTTCGTAGCCATCCCCAGATGGTTGTGACATGTTGTGACCATCCCGTTTTTGGGCGGTTTGGTTCACCGTTTCGGTACCTCAGAAATTTCGATTTCGATTCTCTTCAGAGTTCACCAAAAAGAGAGAGTCTGAGTTAAGTTAAAATATCTCACAACCGATCCCCATCAATCATAAAAAATCCATAAAAAATCATTATGTCCCCTTGGAAAAAGCCATTTCCTGCCATGATTATCCATTCTTTAGTTATGATCACCAGATGCAGATTATCAATTACAACCCATTTCTCTGCTGGTTCATTTTGTAAAGCCCCAGAATTTCCCAGACGAATCTCCCAGTAATAATCGTAGATCGCTGTGGCTCTCGCCAAAACATCCAAAGTCCCCTCCAGTAAATTAACAGTTGGACCCTGGCAGAAAACGGGCTTGGAAGACTAGTTTCCACTATCACTTGGTGATTTTCAGGGTCTACATGGGTATGAATCAATACCTATTAACACCATTTTTAGGATGAACATCCATAAATCAGCTATGACTTGGGGTTCACCAGGGGTACCAGGGTTTTGACACACTGCCATGTGAATTTACCAGGGGGTCAAACCTCCAAAGTCCACCCGTCTCCGCATGTCTCCGCAAAGTCGCACGTCAAAGGTGTCACCTCTGAGATCCAGCTCCGTCAAGATGTAGCCCTCCGGGTTCGTAGGTGCCGAGCAGACGAAGGCCTTGCAGCCAGCCAAGCTGTAGCCTGGACAGCGGGGGCTTCATATGGGAACCGAGAACCATCCTGACCAACGCCACCCGAAAGGCAGATGAGATTCGCGTTTTCTGGCTTGGGATTCGGAATCTGTCTAAAAACCAGCAGTTTGTGGAATGTAAGATGATTTTGAAATATCAATATATATATATATCAATGGTATGTAGAAGCATATGTATAACCATATACAGTAAATGGAATATACTCGCTGGTAATTTGCTACAGTTTGCTATGGAATCCTATGGAAAGTCACCAATTTTAAGATTATATAATCCCCGGAGGTAGGAATTGGTACAGGTGTATTATATATACATATATATATATATTATATGTCTATAAGGTTCTATAAGTATGAGGATGCCCCTGTTGTTGGTAGGATTAGTGCAATTTGGACACATCTTGTCTAGAAATGTCTAGAATCTTTAAAGAACTTTGAAATAGCAAGAAAGATAAGAAAAACACATGATGGGACCTGCAGAATATGATAGGGCTATACATACTATGTGGTATTCTCAGCGATACTTCAGTTTTGGCGGCCCCTATGTTCCTGGGTTTTGAACATTGGAACGGTGTCCGCGACTGAAGGATGCTGATGGGGGGGGAAACTCACCACTCCGCTCCATTGGCCGGTGTTCCAAAAGATTGCGATAGTTCAAAGTCATTGCAAACAAACATGTTAATATTTACAACACTTTCTAAATAATACAATAATATACATGATTCGTATATTATCAAGTAGTTAGTGAAAATCCTTCAATGGATCGAACTTCGTACCTTTAATAATGTGTATCTATCTACACTTCACCGCCAGCACTTCAACGAGGCGCGGTTGTCCTTTTTGGAACATCCCGTGACGCTGGCCGTGCCTTAGAGTATCAGGACTTCAAGGAATTCTTCACACATAATGGCTACATGTGGCTACGTTGATTGCACTTCTGATCTGATGTTACTAGGCCTCTGACCGTGATAGCCATCCTCTGCACTGCAGCTGACCGTCACCTGGCCGGTGAACTGTTCACATGGCAACGCATGGCGATTCTATGGGATATGAAAAACAAAAAACATGCCGAGTGGGAGTTAATGTATGTTAATGTAGATGTATACAGATCAGGCGAAAAAATGGTGAAATGTGTCGTGACATACATATTATATCATATTATCAGATTCCAAAAACGCAATACAATTCTATTCGGATGTGGGCATCGTTGATCATTTCCCTTCTGCCAAGCCTTCCGCCGATGACCGTCTTGACAGGGGGATTCTCTAAACATCAGATCACCAGGAAAAAAAAACTCACCAGATTCAGTAGCTTAAGTTATCAGTATTCGAAAGTTACCCTCTGGTAATTTGTTACATTACTATTAAAAATGGCCATCGAACTAGTTGATTTACCTACAAGTAAAATGACATGGTGATTCTCCAGCTCGCTATGTTACTATGTTAGTTTACCAGAGGGTATTGATTAAGACAACCATTGAAAAAAACACCCCATCAACGTCCCCGCACCTTGAGATCATCCGCCTTCAAACTGGTCTCAGTGATGAGATACCCGGAGGTGTCGTCCGGCGTCACGCAGAGATTGCCTCGTAACACCGAAACTCCCGAGCGGCCGAGTGGATGCCTGGTGGTTGATGTTGGTTGATGCCTGGGGTTTGCATAAATGGGGGGACCCCTTTATTTATCGCTGGTTGCTGTAAATTTCATGGAACATCCTAAGATGGATGATGACATGGGGTACCCCCGCCCCAAGATGAGATTTGGATTAGTCAACGTTTGAACATGGAAATAACTGCATGTTCGATGATAAAGGTGATGATATGTCATTATGTCATGACAAAAAAAGGTCCCTCGGATTGACTGATGACTTCTTTTCCAACCAAAACACCAACTCCTTTTTAGGGATTCAATTACATCATTGGGATGATAAAAAAAGGGAAAAAAACATCGGATGCCGTGGTTTTTCCCATCATAAATTTTCTGTGTAAAGAACTATTCGGTCGGGACTTGTGTTAAGAAACCAGCTATAAAACTCTCGAAACTACAGAAGACCCTCGGCTCAGTCTCAGAGTAAATTTCAAAAAAGGCCCCGGAAGATACTACTCAGAGTGTCTGCTTTTGGGAAATATATATATATATATATCCGCCGACCCTGCCTAGCACTTGCCAAGGCAGGGTGGCGCCTGGGACCACCCTAGGTGTGGAACGTTGCTTTTCTTGCCTATCCAGCATGACCTACTTTTCGATTACTTTTCGACGTACTTTTCTTGTTTCTCGACTATGCTGTGGCATTTCCAATGTTACACGTTGTGTTTGCATCCGCTGCTCAATGGCCAAAATGTTTCCCGGCGCGTTAGTTAGCCTGTTGCTCCCCCGTCTTTCTCATCTAACCGCCCACATTATTATACAAGCAAATTCTATGGGGTTAATACCAAAGACAGGAGAGCAACACCTTATAGAAAACAATAACATAAATCAGAACAACAAACAACAAAAAGAAAAAACAAAACAACATAAGCAATACAATAGATTGTAAAATAGACTATACCAAAAACCATAACAACAAACCAAAACAAAAGACAATTTCACTTTTATAAAATGAAATTTAACTATCATTCTTCTTCAAATTCTCCTCATGCTTCAAAGTGTTTGTGTGCCTCTTGTAATTTTGAGTTTGAATTTCATAATCATCACTTCAAATTTATGGAGATAACCAACATAAATTTCATAATCATTTACTATTAAGATTAAGGGATTAATTACCACAGTCTCCCCCTATGGGGGAAGCCTCAGCCCCCAGCCAATATCTTTCTCAACATATCTCTTTAAATTACCGCAATTACCATGCCCAAACCGCCCTTCATGAACTTGTTGATAACCATGTCTTCTTAACCTCAGTGCGATGTAAATGGCACAGCGATCCAAACTTTTGGGGCGAAATGGAGTGAAAAAGATTTGTGTGGTGTGCGTCCCAGACTTGTTGGTGACAGTCTTCTCAAGTTTTTGGAAGGGTTTGTCTTTGTATCAGGCATGAATGCACTGAATGTCAAGCTTGCGAAGGCTCACTGGCATGAATGCTCTATTGAAGCAATGTCCTATTCCTACTTGACACCCTGAAACCTTGCTACCTACAGACCTTGTCAATCATAAAAGCATCTGCTAAGAGCACTATTTTGCAAAGTCGCCCTGTTGGCGAAGCAAGCACGTGCTTTGTAAGTCGCCCTGTTGGCGAAGCAAGCACTGCTTTGTAAGTCGCCCTGTTGTTGGCGAAGCAAAGAACTGTTTTGCAAGTCATCATGCGTGCTCGATCTCGCCCACTCATGGGTAAGTGGGGGCGTCCCTGCTCTTCTCAGTCTCCTTGCCGAGGTTCTCGGACCGAGGAAAGTAGGGCTCAGTCGGCTCAGTCTCCTCGAGGTTCTCCGACCGAGGGAGGAAGGGTGCTCCACTCTTCTCAGTCTCAATTGGGAGGCCGCGAAGGATGATCTCGAGGTTCTCCGACCGAGGGAGGAAGGGCGCTCCACTCTTCTCAGTCTCAATTGGGAGGCCGCGAAGGATGATCTCGAGGTTCTCCGACCGAGGGAGGCCCGCTCCACCCTTCTCAGTCTCAATTGGGAGGCCGCGGGGGATGATGATGCCGCCCTTCTCAGTCTCCTCGAGGTTCTCCGACCGAGGGAGGAAGGGCACTCCACTCTTCTCAGTCTCAATCGGGAGGCCGCGGCCGATGATGATGCCGCCCTTCTCAGTCTCCTTGCCGGAGTTCTCCTCTGCCATGACGTTGTTGCAGCTCACGCACAATGCAAGGATGAGGCAAGCGAATACACCAGATTTGAGCGCCATGGCAATGCCGACACCCCTGAGCCTGAGCTAAAAAGCGTCCCTGAGTGGCTTGAGGAAAAACTCGCAAAAACGCTACGGAAGAACATAAAGATGCTGAAGAATGACACAAAATTCCAAGCGCAAACTGAAAGAGCTAATTTCTGTAGCTTCCAATTGAGACTGTCAAAGGTGCTCAAATTGAAACAAATTCCAAGGTCAAGCTCTCCAAGAACATGTGGCTTCAAACCTCCAACTGGCATATTCCCAACAGCTGAGTGCCCCGACAACAGGATGAAGAAGAGATTGATGACAAAGCCAAGGCGAGGAAGGGCAAAGGAACATGGAGCAATCCCAGCCAATGACCCAGTCAAACACAAATTCGTGGGGAGAAACAAATGAAGGGCAAAACACAAAACCCCGAAACCAAAACAGCACATCAAATCAATCATCTCATGGTTGCATCAAGTAGGCATGAGTAAGAAAAAATGAACTTACAAGGCTTTCTAAAAACACTAAATCTTTAAAAGTTCATGCCTCATCAACAATCTTGGGTAATCAGTTAATTTGTAATATTTTTGGTTCAACTTTTCTGCAATCTCTTGCACAACATAATAACCTTTTAGCCAGTGGGAAGTTCTTTCTTTCTCTGTAATTGCTTTCTTTCTCATTATCTTTACTTTGTCTCCCACCTCTAATGTTGGGTATATTCTTTCTTTCTTTGCCTTTGATGCTACATTCAGCATTGCTCTGAATTCATTTTTATCTTTCCTTGCTTGATTAGGTGTCATACCTGTAGCGGAGTGTTTCATCTTATCATTGTATGTCAGCATAATTTCTAAATTGTAGTCTGTCCATTTGATATGTTTTCTTCCTTTCTTTTCATCTGCTTCAACTCTTTTAAAAAGCATATCTTTGTAGGTGCGTATAAATCTTTCAGCAAAAGCAGGATGACCCCTTGTCCTATACAACTCAATATTCTCACCTTCAATATAGTCTTTAAAATCACCTCCTGCTATTGCTTTTTCATCATCACTGTATATGATTTTTGGTTTCTTTCCCATTCTTTTTAATGCCTCTTTAGTTGCCTCAATAACATCAGGTTCATTCTTGCTTACAATTGGAATTACTACGGCATACTTGCTTAAAACATCAATACAAACCAATCCTCCTCTATATTTTTGTTCTTCATCAAAATCATAATACCCCATAAAAAACAAATCAATTTGATAAGTATGATTGTTATGAGGTGCTACAAAGGAATTATGCCCTCTTGGCTTTGCTTTTATCTCAACATTTTTCCTAAAGAATTGTTCAACATCCTCTTTCTTGATTGTAGGTTCTTTCTTTTTAGCATCTTCTAATGTGGTCTTTCTTGAACCATAGCCCGCTTTATCAAAATAAATATCACGAATAATTTGTTGTTTCTTACTTTCACTCATTATAGAATAGATGATATAATAAATATTAAAATTATATCATTTATTCTTCATTTTGTTCATTGAACCAGTCTTGGTGTTTCTTTGTTCTAAAATGCTGTGCTTTGTATCCGTATGAAATGATACAACCACAATCACAGGTAATCTTTTTAGATTTTCTCTCATAGATTTTGTCAGCATTATTCTTTTGATATTCTTTTTGTTGTTCTTGGTAGTATGTTTTTTTGCTATGATAATTACTGCGTTTGATTTCACACAAATGTTCTCGCTTGTTGTCATTGTATTCTTTGATGCGCCCATTTTTATTGTTTTGGTAATAGTTTTTGTTTTTTCTTTATAGGGTTCAGGATTGTCATTGTATCTCTCTTTTGCTGACCTTCCTGATATGTTTTTGTTGATACAGTCATTGTTCTTAATGTAATAACCTTCTCTTTTGTGAAGTTCGGCAATGCTTGAACATACATAGTTCTCTACTAATTCAATCTTACAGTTTTCAATTCCAAATTTATCAAACATATCAAATAAAGATGTGTATTTTCTCTTGTTTCCATTGAGATACTGTTGGTAAGTTGTTTTATGTCCTTTAAATCTGTTTGGTAATGTATCTATTGTTGAACCGAAGTAGCATTGCTCATAAGCAATATCAACAACTTGGTAAATTGTGCCATTTTGGTAGTTTTTGGTTTTTACCATACTAAACACTATTATACATAAATAAACAGTCTTTAACACCATTTTCACAATGATATTTTATTTGAAAAAGCACAGTTACAAGAAACGCAATATCCAACTACATTATCTTTGAAGTGGCTTTGTTCATTATTGACCCTTTGACAGCTAATATTTGATGAAACCTTGCCATCTTCAAAATCTATCACCAATGGTTCATTACAATTATTCATCAGGTTCATCAAAAAATCTACATCAACATACTCATTTCCTTCTACATCTCTACCTGCTTTTTTGTCTTGCTCAATGTAATTTAAAACCTTTCTCTCAAAATACTGCTCTACTATCCTTTTAGATTTACTTTCTTCACCTTTATTATATTTGAAAAACTTAATTTTGTTGAAGTCTGTAGCCCTTGTGAGGGCTGTAAAAAACCAATTCTTACTAACATACCATTCATTCCAATCATATATGACTATATCACCATCAACGCTACAACCTTGCTTTGAATGTGCGGTGTAGCAGTAAGCATATATCCGCCGACCCCTGCCTTAGCCAAGGCAGGGGCGGCGCCTGGGACCACCGCAGGTGTGGAACTTTTTTTCGTTCCCAATGCTTTGCACTTTCCACGAGCCACCCAGGCCATAGCACCCTCTGTTCACCGCCCAGGGGCCACTCAGGCCACAGCAATTTCTGTGCACTTCCCACGAGCCACTCATGCCACAGCAATCTCTGTTTCTACGGCGTTCCAAAACGCAACAGGCCGCGGCAGACCCTGTGCAGTTCCAACAAGTCCCTGAGGCCGTGGCAGTAAAGAGGTTCAAGGCTGCCGTTTGCCAGCCTTCAAAACTCCCCAAACCCTTCCCTGCAGCTCCCAGGCGCCACTCAGGCCGCGGCAGACCTTTCCTGCAGCTCCAACAAGTCCCTGAGGCCGTGGCAGCGTCTTTTTAAGGACGTTCAAGGCTGCCGTTTGCCAGCCCGCAAAACTCCCAAACCCTCCCTGCAGCTCCCAGGCGCCACTCAGGCCGCGGCAGACCTTTCCTGCAGCTCAAGTCCCTGCCGCGGCAGACCTTTCCTGCAGCTCCAACAAGTCCCTGAGGCCGTGGCAGCGTCTTTTTATGGACGTTCAAGGCTGCCGTTTGCCAGCCCTCAAAACTCCCCAAACCCTTCCCTGCAGCTCCCAGGCGCCACTCCGGCCGCGGCAGACCTTTCCTGCAGCTCCAACAAGTCCCTGTGGCCGTGGCAGTGTCCTTTTAAGGAGGTTCAAGGCTGCCGTTTGCCAGCCCTCAAAACTCCCCAAACCCTTCCCTGCAGCTCCCAGGCGCCACTCAGGCCGCGGCAGACCTTTCCTGCAGCTCCAACAAGTCCCTGAGCCGTGGCAGTGTCCTTTTAAGGAGGTTCAAGGCTGCCGTTTGCCAGCCCTCAAAACTCCCCAAACCCTTCCCTGCAGCTCCCAGGCGCCACTCAGGCCGCGGCAGACCTTTCCTGCAGCTCCAACAAGTCCCTGAGGCCGTGGCAGTGTCCTTTTAAGGAGGTTCAAGGCTGCCGTTGCCAGCCTTCAA